ATCTGGATGTGCCACCGCGCACAGTGATATCCTGCGGTTGGCTCCGACAGATAGGGTTGCGCAGTTTCGCCTCTCTCGCATACGTATAATACGGTAAATCAATCCGCGGCATCCAAAGAACGGAACGACCGTATGCACACGTGCGGGGATTAAATAGACACATTATGGAGACTCCGCCGGTCTATTATTTTCTCGCGAGGATATTATCGATTCTCCACGGTTTTGTTATACATCACAGGCCGACGATATTGATCGTGTCGGTGTTATATATACGTTTGACAAGTCTAGCACATTTCCGTAAATTGACATTGTATCATCGATCGGCTTCTTACTTTCTCTTTAATCTGTTCGTTTTTCGGCGGATTTTGCAGAAAAATGGATGTAGACTCGACGGATTGAGTTTATGAAAATGAAACGAGTTGTTTGGAAAATCAGGAAACTATATAAAAATCTATAGATTTTCTATGAATCGATTTGTAAAATGATAGATTAGTGCGCACGGAGAGAATTTCCTCTTAGAATTTATCCTGAAAATTATGATAATCTGATACAATATATTGGAAGCATTTTATAAGAGTTTCTCTGATTAATATTTACCATGTAATAAAAAATATTATATCTACCGCGATAAAATAAAATATGTTCGATTAATTTTATTACGTACATATTAATATTTTTTGTGGTAAATATTAATAATCAGAGAAAAATTCTTCCAATATACCATATCCCACGATTACCATAATTTTTAGGGTAAATTATAAGAGAAAATTATCTCCATGTATTTAAAAATCAAGAATTTATATTGATATATGCATCTCTATAAATCCATGTTTTCTCATTTATCTCGTATCATTATACTTGTGCATATATATTTACAAATCAGCTAGTAACAGTTTATTTTTGTCTTAAACAATTGGAAATCTTTATATGACGCGTTAGCAACATTTTTAGTTATTAATTATGTTAATTTATATAGCCTAAATATTACATCACATTATCTGAAAGTTAAGTTAAAAGAGTCATCAGCAAAATGTTGTCCTAGAGACTGACAGTCGCGCATTTTTCCGTTTCTTTCGCGGCATATTACGTTAATAAAGTATTATATAGGTACACCGAAAATGATGACAGTATTATTGGGCTGTCTTACATTCTTAGATTGCATGCTCTCTCTGTATGATAGACGAAACGTCACTAATATTTTGATTCAAGCTTAGTTACGTTACTACAACGCGACCGACTCGTTCAGGACGAAAACAAACCAAGGCGTACAATCCAACCCCCTCTTCACTCGACGAGCGACCACAAGTCGTTTATTTTTCTTGAAAACGTATCAGCCGCATTTCCTTCCTCATTGTCTGGCTTGAAGAAATAAATCTACCAGCACGGCGCGTCGACTCAAATCTCATTTCCTCTATGTAGCGAGATCTTTGCGTGCTTTGCTACTACTTCCGATTGCCATCAATGTATCCCACCTTGCACGACTTTCAGTATACGAATTAATCGCCTTAAGGCTTCGTAGAGAACTAATAAGAAAAATTATTCTAACTCCTATATACGTTTTGTTGCACGAAGTGATCGCAGAATTTCTTTTTCAGTTTTATGTCATATAAATATTCAAGATATATTTATTATTATTATGCATATATTTCTAAAATAAATTTATATACGTGACTTGAGACTGCAGTTTGCGCAAATGTAATTCATCATAAAGAGGGCGCATAGAATATGCTCGTTCCAAATGCACGTTTATGCAAGTACTATCACAGATGGGCTACATGCAACGTGGTCCGGACTTCCGTTATGGTTGACAGCGCAGGGTCGAAAAGTGGTAGGCAGGGTCGGCGGTGGAGCAGCGAAGATAATAGTCATAGAGAGAGTAGTAAACGGAGGAGAGAAGCACCAGTCCTCTCTCTCTCTCTCTTTCTCTCTCTCTCTCTCTCGTGGGCGGCGTAACGCGGCTAATTCCGACTGTTTGGTTAGCAAGCATTTAAGGTTTGTCTTGGCTGTTGCTTCGTGTCTTTTAGACAGCCGATCTGTGTTCCGACCAAATGAAACGGAAGCTAAACGGCGATGTGACGAGGTGACGAGCTGACGAGATAACTCGGTCGCGTGCATCCGCGTCCGAGGCGATTAGCGTGGCCACGCACGACGAAAGATCTCTCTGACCGATAGGATGCGAAGTGTGAACTTGTCCAAGTGTGATCCGTTCGATTGTGAAATATTAAAGGAGGAGAAGAAAGAGCGTCTGGAATGCTCTTTTTTTTTTTTTTTTTTTCACCTATATACCGTCATTTGGGGCCAAGCCATCAGATCCGGATGCAGGAGATTTTGCTGTCTGTCCATCAAGTTTCTGGAGTGGTTCGATGGAATTTTACATGAAAATAACATTCTTCTATGTATATTATTTTAGAAACGACCGCGCGAACGATTAATATTAAAAATCTGCAGTGATATATTTTTTTAAGCAGTCAGAATTTAAATAGTAAATAAATAGTGTAAAATACATCTCGTATACAATGAATTCATCCGCGTCCTGGACGATGGTGCGAAAAACGTAGTGGCGCGTAAACAAGTAAAAGTTAACAAAACAATCCATACGTTGTCATTCGCGTCATGTGTTAAAATGTTTCGAGAGCAGCTTGAGCCTGCAAAATGACCATTCGCGTATTATTGTAGTTGCAGTTAAACGCGCGTAAAAAATTGTTTGTATCGCAAATTAGGTAGGAAATAATTGTGCGATATATTCTGTCACCAAATACAACCACCCCGTTGAATCTCTCCCGTCTATTCGATTCGACGACGCGTAATTTTACTGTTTATCATCAACACATTTCTATGTTTTTCCTGTCCATTTTTTGTCCATTGACACGTTTTTTCATGAAATGATTGTTGCTAAAGATTTTTTTTACATGCATTTCGCAATTCGAAATTTTCCTCTTCATGCAATATTTGTGCATTATTTCGAAGAATAATTCGGTTCGCGAAAATATCAATTTCTGTTTGATTTTTTAGGACGATATATTAAATTAAAAGAGCAAAATATCCCAGCGAGAATTTAAGACGTCAATTGTCTCGTAAGAAATCTCAGGATGGAACATTCGAAAATCCGAGTAATATTTCGAGAACAAAAATTCGAGAAAAATTCACGGCAGAGCCAGCTTGAAATCTAAAAAATCGTCTCGCGAGAGACGCGGCTGTTTCGCGGGAATCAAAACACAATCGTCCATTAACCGAAAAATCCGCGGGAGAGATCCCGATAAAAACTCGCGCGCAATAACTCGATAACTCATCGCGGATGAATGCGAACGACGTCGCGCCGTCGGAGACGAACGTCGAGACGTCGCGACGCGTTTCGCGCGCGCGCGCGGTTACGCACGCATTTTACGGGGTGCGTTTAACGGGGGTTGGAGGGGGAGGGGTGACGCGACGCGGCGGGCCGGGACCAGGAAAAGCCGGAGGGAGGAACGTGCTCTTGTGTGCCGGCGGTGTGTTTGTTCAGCCGCAACTTCTCTAAATCTTTTGTACGAAGAACGCGCGGCGGCGAACTCGCGTGCACACGCGTTTCCGAGTAGCAGCTCTACCTCGTGCATGCGATCGTTCAGGTATTCTCATCGGAATAAGTCGAGACATTTCTAGGATACATTTCGCACACATTGTCCCCTTTTTTTGCATCAATCGAAAATGATAATAATAATTCATTATTATCGCGAAACGTTACTTGTTTTTTTCAAAAATGCTCTATCTGTCTTTTGGAAAGATAATATCTATAGGACAATAAGATATAAAATACATGTTTAATTAATTTTACTATATACATATTAATATTTTTATTGTAGTAAATATTAATCAGAGAAACGCATAAAATTTTTCCACTACCATATTGTTCCACGATTACCATGATTTTCAGGGTAAATTCTAAGAGAAAATTCTCTCTGTAATATATTTTATGTAAACAATTCAATACGAAAAAGGTCTATAAAAATAAAAAATGTTGCAAATCACGAAATGCACTATTAATCGCGCGAAAATTATTTCGTTATTGTGAAAGAAGAGATAAGATGTTGCAAAAAATATACATAATAATCTTATGTACTTTATGTGAAGATAAATTATATAAATCTTATGTAAAAAATATGAAAGAGATCTCAAAATTGTGTTGATGTTGCAAATCACAAAATGCGCGAAAATTATTTCGACCAAAGGCGCGGAGTAATCGAAGATCAATCTAGTTCGGCGGTAGCGATATTCGACGGTAATTCGATGTAGAAATAAGCTTTCAACCTGGCGGAGGTAGGCCGCGTCGGATAATGGCGTCGAGCTGAAAATGCGACGTGCGGAAACGATGCCTGTTGTTGTTTTATGGGAAGAGGAGAGGAAGAGGAGAGAACACACGGAAAGCGGACGCTCGCGTTAAACCGATTTGCACATCGGATGCACTCCCGATTCCTCGAACAGCGGGCAATTTCACAAGCTGGATCCCGTTTGTTCATACTTTTGCTACATGTAGCAATATTATTTCTGTTTAGTTTATCGTCCTATTCCGAAAGTATATTTACGGCAACGATTAATCTCTATGAGTCTATTAATCTTATATTTAAATATAATATATAATCAAGTAAATACACTCTGTCTCGATTTATTTATAACTATTCGCGGATTTTGAATGAAGATAACGCGTCATGTGTCGATGCTATAATAATTTTGTCTTTGCGACGTGACAGATGTCTAATATTTTTTAAGTTTTTTTTTAATTAAAAGAATTATTAAATGTCGAGGCTAAGGATCATCGTCGCATTAATCGGCCTCTCAAATTATTCGACGATCAAACTGTTCTGTTGCGAACGGCATACCGTCTCTAATGCGAACGGAAAGCTGGAAGAAATCCATCTTCCAAGGGTTTCACGCTGATGACGAGATGCAGCTTGCATCTCCGACGGAAGACAAGTCCCGTCGGTCGTCGACCAGTAAATCTCATTCATGTTCATTCGTTACGTACTTACATACATCATGGTGGGCGTTTGTGCGATGAAAAAGAAGTCGAAAACCTTCGAAACGTCGTTCTGTCAGACCTCCAGATCGGATAATGCAGCGAAAAAACTTAGGCTGTTGAATGTACAACGTGACATTGAAGTTCCCAAATGCTCGATGCGATATTTAACGATTAATCTGAAAAGGATGAAAATCCCACAATTACATTTTACATTTTGCGTGGAAGCATATATATAGTAAAAAAAAGTAGTGTTGTAAAATATTTTAATAGAGAAAAAAATCTCAAGTTAAAAAATTTCGCTAGATCGCTTCTGTTCATTTTTAAGTCACTCTTCCGATTCTACTTTGACAGAAAATTAATTTCCTCGACGTTATTAATCATATTATCGCTATTTCGCTCTGTCAGAGAAAAATTCTTATAATGATATAATATTACAGAAATTAAAAATATTATTTGTATGTTTTATTTGAACGAATGTAAAGCCACATATGAAATATAAGTGATGGGAGAGAAGAAAGGCTTCATTCTCGTCGACGACGTAATATAATAAAGCGCACCGAGAGTTAAAAAATTTTGCTAGATCGCTTCTGTTCATTTTTAAGTCACTCTTCCGATTCTACTTTGACAGAAAATTAATTTCCTCGACGTTATTAATCATATTATCGTTATTTCGCTCTGTCAGAGAAAAATTCTTATAATGATATAATATTACAAAAATTAAAAATATTATTTATATGTTTTATTTGAACGAATGTAAAGCCACATATGAAATATAAGTGATGGGAGAGAAGAAAGGCTTCATTCTCGTCGACGACGTAATATAATAAAGAGCACCGAGAAAGAGAGAGAGAAAGAGAGACGCCGTAACGATTTTAATAAATTTGGCGCTGGGTAAGCTGCAACAACAGGGCGTATGAATTAAGGAGGGCCGAAACAGCGCTTGGATAAACATCTCGAATTAGGCGCCGAATTCTTTTCCATGCGTCCGACGCACGCAGCGATGACTTCTTTACGAGTTCGGCATGCACGCGCAATCGCGGGCACGCGGTTAATTTAGCCACAAATTTTCGGTAATTGACGAGCTATTTTACAGTCGAGGGATTTCGCTCGGCAGTTTGGGATTACGCGATGTTCTCGCAAACTCCGTTTTTATCGTTCCAATGAATTGTCTTAGTGACATGTTGATGTATTAGAAAATATAAAACCTATATACAGAGAAAAATTAAAAAAAAAGAGAGCCGCAGGTAGATAATGTTCGTCGTGCAAATTTTTTAGTAAAAATAAAATTAATTATTTTATTTGTTTTTATATTAAATTTACAAATTAATTGTCCTATAAAAATTGTGTTTGATTAAACTCTGATATTTTAAAGAATTACATCAATAAAAATAATCATGTTTGCTACTTATTCATTAAAAACGGTTGTTATTAGTTGTTAACAAGTTTGTAAAAAAATGTTTAACACTGGCCAAATAAAAATATCTAAAGATATATTTCTTTCGAGTATAACCGAAAAGGATTATCTCCGTATTAAAGATGGAACGAGGGCAGACCACCGTGATCGAAGTTTGTGAAAATACGCGTCATGCGTATCTTCTTACCATTTCTAACCGTAAAAATGTTTCCAAATAGTTCTGGGGCTCGAGGTCGAATCAGTTCGCGGAATCGTCGATCCGGTCATAATATAAAATCTTCGACAGAGGAATGCAGTTCTTGTTGAATCCGACGAATGGGACACAGAATTCTCGCTCTATCGCCGCATTATGTTCGAATTTACGAGAAGGAAGAAGCGGGTTTCCCCGATCGTCTCGATCGTTTCGACACAAAGGATCATCCTTCACCGATATGCACCTGTTTCACGTTGTGGGCTTACGCCACGCGTAGAGGGAATAAAACTCCTTGGATGCGTGCAGCATCGTCAACAAAGCTTCACGTCAATAAGAGACGTGCGGTGGATTAGCGTGTTTTGAATTGGGCGATTCGCGTTGAAGGCAGAACGAATCAATTCGTTGCACAATTAAGTTCGGTATTAAACAAATTTAATTGACCAGAAATTATCCATACTACAGTATACTGACTTTAAATATTTCACGTACCTTTATATATTTTTTAACATTTAATTCTTAAGTTTAATATATATCTCTGATATTGATCTCTTCGGGTAAACAATGCAGAAATAATATATAGAATAAACTATCACTGCATAATCTCAACATTTATATATGCACGGAGCGAATTTTCTCTTAATTTACCCTAAAAATTAATCGTAGGACAATGGTATTGGGAGAATTTTATAAGAGTTTCTCTTAATTAATATTTACAACAATAATTAATATTAATATGTACATAGTCAAATTAATTGAACACATTTTATATCTTATTGTAGTTATTAATATTTTTTATCGTGATGCAAATATTAATCAGAAAAGTTCTAATAAAATGTTCTAGTACACACGATTATCATGATTTTCAGGATAAATTTCTAAGAGAAAATGTTCTCTGCGTGTATATTCATAAGGTGCATAAAAAAATAAAAAAAATTGTCACGAATCCTGTGATTCCTAGCATTTCTTCGCGCAACGGGGCGGTCTCTTCTTTTCGGGGTTGGCAGGTGTACGCGTACCTCGAGAATATTATCTCTGTCAACCATTCGTGTTTATCCGCATACATATTTGACGAACTTGTTCCTTCCTGGGAGCAAGGATATGCCTTGAAGAGAAGCACCGATCTCGCTGGTTCGAGTGAGATAATATTTAGGCGATTGCGCGTTGCCTAAATGCCCATGCATTGCGTTTGCTACCTGCCCTCTTGCCTGCCTATACCTACCTATATCTACACTTCGCACTGACGGTGTCAACTTTTGTCTCATAAGTTAGGTCAGGGCCATTATTAGCCTATTAAAGGTTTTGTAGCACAATGTTGTCACAAAAGTGCGTCCTGACTTGTAAGCCAGACCTTCCCCAATGTTCTGCAGGTGTCATCTTAAAGTGTCACTTTACACAAGGGTGTGTATGATTATTAATATTAAAATAATTACTCACATTTTTCAAAAATTTTGATACGCTAAAAATTTGTTTAAAAATCATTAGATGATTAATCCTTTCGTTTTTCGTATACGTTATAGGTATATATGAATATACACAATTTATCATATTTTATACACCTTTTTTTATAATAAATCTTGCTTATTATGGATATTATGATAAATCTTGTGCGTGTTTTTCTTAGACAACATTGATTACGAGGAAATAAAATTCTATTCGTACCCTAAAGGATTAATCAAAGAAGGAATTCGGACGATAGGGGAAGGTATAGGAAGTGAGCGAAAGGATACGGTAGTAGTGCGAAAAATAATTTCCTGCTGCTGATACGCGGTGTATCAAGAACGGGGAGAAAAGTTCGGCCTCCCTCTCCGGGAGATATCAAAATATTATTCGAGGCTTGCCCGCCGGTACCTTCGGATTCTCCTCGCGCCATATAGAAGCCGCACGGGATCCAAAGTGGTCAGTTATTGCTCTTAGCCTCGATATACGAGCACCTCGCGCGTATCTCTCACACGACATACGGTATCTTATAATCTTCGTAGCAGTCATGAGAAAATACGGAACCACACAAATGCTAGGTTCTTCTCTTCTGTCATCATTTAATTAGTTGCGCAATTTTTTACAAAATCAATTACATTACACGAAACTTTTTTTAATTTAAAAAATAGTTCCCTCTAGCAAACAATTACACACTTATCTGATTTTTATCTAATATTGATATCGAAGATGATTTTTATTAGGCATTTAAGAAGCAGATCCAATAGGTATGCTGACCGGAAGCAGAATTGTTGGAAAGGTAGATTTTTGACATATCCCCGAAAATATCCGTAGGAAACATTTGCAAAATACGGAACCCACAAATGCTAGGTTCTTCTCTTCTGTCATCATTTAATTAGTTGCGCAATTTTTTACAAAATCAATTACATTACACGAAACTTTTTTTTAATTTAAAAAATAGTGCCCTCTAGCAAACAATTACACACTTATCTGATTTTTATCTAATATTGATATCGAAGACGATTTTTATTAGACATTTATAAAGCATTCAGAAGCAGATCCAATAGATATGCTGACCGGAAGCAGAATTGTTGGAAAGGTCGATTTTTGACATATCCCCGAAAATATCCGTAGGAAACATTTGCCATTCTATGAGATGAACTGTCGACTGGACTTTCAGCCGCACATCAACGACAATCAAAATGATAACTCTCTCTCTCCTCTATTCGGACCGTTTTCCTCGTCGCGCGCGTCTATGGAAAATCCAAAAAGCAATAATTGCGACCGAAAGACGGGGAATGTTTTCTTTTGCGAGCGGGCGAAATTCACAAGAGAGAGAGAGGGGGGGAGACACGCTCTTGGATATCTATATAGATGGAGAGAGAAGAGAAGAGAGAGAGAGAGAGAGAGATAGAGTGGAAAGAAGGAAGACAGAGAGAAGAGAATTCGTGCTGGAATAACATTGGGTGACTGTGGTATTGTCAACCCCTGTCGCGCGTTGCTCTCGTGCTCCTCTTATTTCTTTCCCCGACTGTCTTTCTCTCTCTCTCTCTCTTCTCTTCCATCCACCCTCTTCACGGCCGCCCACCCTTTCCGTTCCCTGCCCTTCTGTCTCTCTCTTTCTCTAAGGTCTACCTATCCTAGCCACGGCTTAGTTAGACGCTGGAATATAGGAGAGCAGTCAGAGAATAGACGGGAGTCGGGAGGGATGAAACAACACCCCGTTCCCATCGTTCTACCCCTCTCTTCCGACTCTATTTCTCCCTCCTCTTTCACCGTCTCTCTTTCTCTTCCTCGCTCCTTCTCCTTTATCCGTTCCCTAAACGCGGCCAATAAAAACAACACTCGACGAGGCGAGGGAATATACGGGGGTTGCGGCGAATTATAAAAATAACACTGCCAACCGATCGAACAATCGCTGGATCTCTCGCGACGAGCGGTTGATGCTGACGTCGCCGTTGATGCTGACGTCGACGACGTTTTGTCATTTGGAGCTGTGAAAAGTTCGAAACCACCTCGCACTTTTCTCCTGGTTTTTCTCTTTCTCCCGTTCGCCATCCAGATTTCTCTTTCGGAGCCACGATTGTACGGATAGGAGCGACAGTGTGTATGGTGACACGTACACTTAATTGGAA